TTGATTGTGTTTTTATGTTTAATATTTTATTCCAAATTTCTTAGATCCTGCAATTCTATTCTACAACGAAATTAAAAAGGAGACTCTTTCTCAATAGTTTTCTTAACAGTGGAAACTCTAACTTCTGTCCATGAAGAATTCTCTTTGAAATGCGTGGCGATAAAACCTCTCTTTTCATTTACAAAAAAATTACAGCTAAAATGTGTGACATGGATAATTTAACTAATCTCCACAAAGAATCCCTTCCTAAAAGTACGGCAAGTAAACTCTAACTTCTCTCGAGGAAGAATCCTCTCTAGACTGCGTAGTGGGAAAACTCCATTTTTTTCACAAATATTTCCATCTGAAATACGCGGCAGGGAGACTTCAAATTTTCAATATGAAGAATCCTTCCAGAATGAGGCGAGGAAACTCCAACTTTTCTTAATGAAGAGTCCTCTCCGGATAATTGGGTGGGCAAACTCAAATTTTTCTTCATGAAGAATCTCTTCTGGAATGCACAACCCGAAAACTCTAATTTTTATCCACAAAGAATCCACTACGAAATACATGATGGGGCAACTCCAATATTTCTCAATGGAAAATTCCCACTTGAATGTGCGGCACAAAAATAAGTTTTTCTTCACAAAGAATCTCCTTCATAATGTGTGGCAGGATACTCTATTTTTTCTCCGTGAAGTTTCCCCTCCATAATGCATAATTGAGACACTAAGAGGTCTTCTCCGGGATGTACAAGTAGGATAATTCACTTCTTTCTCTTATTTATGTCTTATTTATAGGCTTAAAATGTTTAAAAAAAAGAAACATAAAAATTGCTAAATTTAGATTTTGTCCATAGATCGCTAACGTGGCACCCGCCGTCTGCCGAATCAGTCACGCATCCAGTCTTTTGAACCCACATCTCTTGATCGCTCATATGACTGCTCGTCTTCTATGTCTCTGGATCACTGATGTGGTTGTCCGTTGTCCGCTTGACAACATGACACCGTCCGATTGAAACCAACTCGACTGACTGACCAAAGAAAAATATGTTGAGATTTTCATACCTATTTTACACTGTTTTTGATGATATTACCCTTTAAAGAAGGGTATTTTTGATGTTTTGTTGCATGTACGATTAATTATGGTCATTGGAGCAAAAAGATGCAAAAATGGTGCAATTTGGAGCAAAAACGAGCAAGAAATGAAATTTTGCCCTGTCACCTTTCGATAAGTCTTTCGATGCTTAATCTCTTTTACGCTTCTTGCACATTTTTGAATGAGATTACACTTTAAGAGAAGATTGTTTTCATGCATTTTGTAGGGCTATCTGTTAGGAAGCTATCTGATAGGAACACAACGCAACTGAAATGGGGCGAAATGGAGCTAAAACAGAGCCAAGCAGAGCGAAATGGTGGAGCTACGCAAGGGGAGTGTCGGCAAACTCAGAGCCAGTGAAAATGGCGCCGACGGCGAGATTTACCTGAGAAGACCAAAAAATGACAGAAAAGCTCGCGGACGACGCCCTCGAGCCCGCCAACGGCGCCCGGGACGACTATGGACCGACTTTTGGCGGTTATGGGCTGAAATTCAACGTATTTGGACGCTTTTTGAAAGGGTTCTTGTGGCTACTCTTCAAACTTCATCCCTACACTTTAAAAGAACAAATTTAGGTTAGAAAAATGGAGTTATGTGTGAGAGGAATGTTAGGAAAAGTGTGGAGAAAGTTTAGG